CTTGGAGCTCAAAGCTTGCTTCACCTCTGTTGCAGGACGAGCGTTTGCCTGGGGAATGGGCACTAACTACCAGCTGGGCACCGGGGAGGAGGATGATGTCTGGAGCCCCGTGGAGATGACTGGGAAGCAGCTGGAGAACCGGCGGGTGCTGGCCGTGTCCAGCGGTGGGCAGCACACTGTGCTGCTGGTCAGTGACAAGGAGCAGAGCTGATGAAGTGACGCCGCAGCCGGGACCAGCGGAATCACAGCACCCCCAGACCCCACACAACTTCTGCCTGCTTTGGGGAGGGAGGAGGCTCATGGAGCTCGGCCCAGCAGCGCCTGCGAGGCTGGCACAGGGTGCCCATGGGTTCTCTCTGCAAGTGTTTGTCTGTTTTCCTGTGGTGCCCATGTTTTGTCAGCTCCCCGGGTCAGCTTGGTCCTAAACTGATCCTCCATCTGTGCCTGGATGGATTTCCACTTCTTCTCGTCTGTTTTTTTAACATTTCCTGGCCCAGCAAAGCCGAGGGTTTTGTTCTTCACTCTGCAATCAGGTTTGGGTAATAGTCTCCCTGAGGTCCCCATGTTCCCCAGATCTCGATGCTCCTCCACCCCCTTCACCTAAATACACCTCTCTGGCCTGGATTTGTTTGCTGCCACCCCCCAAACCCTTCTGAGCCCATTCCAGGTGGATCTGAAGGATCCACCTGCAGGAATGTGCCCAGGAATCTATCCAGAGCTTGTGGCTACTGTGGGGATATTGTGCCCAGTGAGGGAGGATGCTGCTGGATGCTGCCCAGCACCGTGTGACCTGCCTCCCACCCCTCAAGCTGAGCTCCCCCAGGCAGTGAGGCAGGAGTAGGTTCCCCACTCCCCATGGCCTGGAGCAGCCACCTCACCACTGCTTTTTGCAGTGCTGGCCACTCCCTCTTTGCCTTTGGAAACCCAACCAAATCCATCCCACAGGTGGGAACACTGTTACTTTAGTTTTTTCACTTTCCCTTGCTGAGGAAGGAGCTTCATTTACTGTTAGGGCCTTGCTGAGCAGACGCTCAGACCTCAGCTGAGCATGGAGACGCTGGAACAACAGGACTCCTCCCCATTGCCTCCCTGATCCAACTGGTCCTGCTTCCTGTGCCCAGCTTGCTCCATCCTCTCCTTACAGGAGGTGCCTTCCAGGTACCTGGAGTGAGGAGGGGTCTGCAAAGACCTAAATTATAGCAATAGGAGGGGGGGGTTGTGGCTGGGGGAGGGGGGGTGTGGCGTTATACAATGGTTCCGAAGGGGTTGGATTTTTTAAAAAAGAAAATGTATTTTGGTGGATGAATCAAGGCAGAAAGGACAAAAAAAAAAAAAGAGATCTTTTAACATTTGGAATAAACTGAGTTTTGATAAACCCAGGCTTTTACTGAGCTTTGGAGGGCTGGGCAGCTCTCCCGTGGGGACAGTCGGGACAGGGGGCTGCTCTCTGGGGGCTCTCCTGCTCCCGCTGTGTCCCAGTGTCCTGTGGCCGGCAGATGGCAGCAGGAGAACGCGGGACTGGGAGAACTGGGACGGAGAGGGGACGGTCCCTGTCATCCCTCTTCAGTTCCTCGTCTGTCTGATGGGTCACCCCTGGTATCTTTGGGTCTCCAGGAACACGACCAAGCCCGTGGCACAGCTGGAAGGATCCTGGCGTGTCCGTGCTCCCAGCCAGACCTGTGTGGAGACTGGGAGCCACGGGGCAAATTCCCACACCCTGGTGTGGCTGGAGCCCCAGGTCGCTGTTTACACGTAATTAATTTGGGCAGGAGCAGGTTCCTTAATGAGCCTGGGCACTGAGAGCAGCTCAGGCTGTTGGCAGCTCTGCTGCTCCCGTGTGGGCGAGCTTGGATTTACAATCAGGGATGGCCTCAGCGTGTCCAGTTCTGTCTGGGGGGCACCCACCTCCCATCAGGTGGGTTTGTTCTGGTGCTTGCAGTCCTAGGCTTGCAAAGGACTTTATTTTTCCCTCTAAGCATAAGGGCACGTTGTGTTGTGAGGGATTGAGCCCATATTTTGCCATCACTGCAGGCTGAGCCATGGGGCAATGCTCTCTAATCCTGTGGATAATTCTGCTCCCTGGGGACCATCACCATTTGGTGCTCTTCAGTAAAATGTGACCTGATGGAGAAACTGCTCTTTGACTTGGGCTTCATTCCCAGCAGCATTTATCCAAAAACAGCCTCAGCTACTGGGGAGATCCCACATCCCAGTGCTCCCAGTTCCTCCCTGTCCCCAACACTGGCAGGTTTTTGCATCTATCTCCCACGTTTGGGCAGCAGAAACAGGATCAGAGGTGGCACAACTGTGTGGTCACCACAGGGCTGGATCCTGCCAGGAGCCAATGCAATTCCCTACAGCTCCTGTAGGTGTATAGAGAAAACAGATCATTCCAAAAAAGATGGGATTGTACCCCTCCCTGAGGGGCTGTTCCTGTTTCTGGAAAGGGGAAGACATGTCTTTGTGAATGGGAAGCTTGCTGGTATGTTCAAGAAACAGGGGAAAAGGGCTGGGGGAGAACAGTAAGATTTAAAATATTCAGAACTGATGAATAAGCAATTGTCTTGGGAACCAGTGACACTTCAGTGGGAAGCTGCTGGAAACCGGGGGAAGGATGAGCCCCCACACAGGGGGGAGAGGGTGGGTGAAGGAAAACAGCTTAATTGAGGAAAGGGAAATGTCTCATTAACAAGGTTTAGTGCTCACAGAATGAGTTGGGGGAATTTGGAGATTAGAAGGAGGAATTTGGGTCCTGTGGAGTGGACCACTGGCTGTGTCAGGATCCAGCCTTAGTCAATGGGGAAGTTTTTCCAGCACTGACCCCTCTAGAGTCTCCCTCATCACCAGCTGGCAGCTCCAATCCCATACTCTGGTCTCCATCTGCTGCTATTGGAGGTACATAAAAGGCTTTTGCTTTATAGACAAAAGCTGGGAAATTGGAATTTGAGGGCTTTAGCATCCATGCAGGATGAGGCCTGGCAGTGTGAAGATCTTTTGGGCCCAGAATAAAAGCACTTTGAGTGTTTGTGGGGTTTGTGAGAGATTTTTCCGTGTTTTTAAACATGTTGCTGTTTTAGGTAGAAAATTTCTGCCTATGCAGTTGTGTTGCAGGATCTGCAGGGAGAGAATTGCATCTTCAGAAGGGTTTGGAGGCTACTGAGATTGTTTTCTTGTTATTCCTTTCCTGCCTGGAAGAGGAAATGAGCTTTAATTATGGCCAAGGTGCCTGTGACGGGGTTTGATGATGGGTCTGCAAGTGACAGCTTGGTCATTGTACTGGGCTGTCCCTCCAGTCATTAAGGCTGTAGCCTGACCAGTATATCCCAGGATAACTGGCACATGCAGTGCTCTGGTGTGGCTCCTGGCAGAAGAGTGTCTTGGGTCTCTTTAGGATGAGAGTTGGGCTGAAATAGGGATGTGGGGGTGTCTCTGCTCCCTCCCCAAACTGCTGACTGTGGGGGGATAGAATGTAAGAAAATAAAGATAGTGCAGAAGGTGATCTCACCCATCTCACCCCTGAGCTGCACTGTACCAATTACCAAAGACTAGAACAGGCCTGCCCTTAACAAGCCACAGCTGTGTCCAGTGAGGATGAGTGCTATAAAAGAGTGGGTTAGGTGGCTGAGAGGGGAGTTGGGGTTTGTTGGCTGTGCTGTGAAGAAGTCAGTGCTGTAAGGAGCTGCCCATGAGAAATCACCAAAAATGTATGGAACTTTTTGCAATAAGATGACAACAGCTGATGTCCTGTTCCTTTTCCATTACAACAGGCCAAAATAAGGAAAGTCTCATATGGCTCACACAGCTCTTGGGAGCTGGGGAAGGGGATCCTGGCTCCATCCCTGCCTGGAGGAGCTCCAGTGCTCACACAGTATCCCAGACATCCCCCATCCCCTCCCTGCACGTTCCTCCCCATCCCATTTGCTCAGGGAATAAAACAGTACAAATTAAGCAGAATTTGTAACTGAAAGGAGAAAAAAAATCCTCTAGGAATTATTCATAGTGATTTTCTTTCCCTGTTAAATGATGAATTGCATGACAAGAATCTCTGTCAAGCTGACAGCCTGGGTCCACCCCAGGCTGCTCTGAGGTCAGGAAGGTGGGAGCTCTCACTCCTGTCCTCCCCAGGAAAGCCAGATCCATTCATTTCCATCTGCATATTAATGCAATTCCAAAGTCAGCCTAAACCTGCAGACAAAGAAACTGGCATCATCATCATTAATCACAAGCTCAATACATCAGGGTTCATTATTTGGTGAATTAATTGAAGAAAAAAAAAAATGGGGAAAGGATGTTTCCTGCAATAACACGATTTTGGGCTGCAAATGTCCCTGAAATAGCTGGTTGGTGTGTGCCAACACAGGTTGCTGCATAATTAATCTGGGCTGGCTGCTAGTTTACCAGGGCTGTGAAATCTCTGAACTGGTGCCTGGCTCAGCTTTCCCAGGGTGCTGGGTAATGGACGGGGGTCCTCGAGTGGTTTTCACATCCACCCTGCACTCCTTTCTGTTGCTTTTCCGCTAAATCCTCATTTGTATTTAAATTACAAATGTAATTTGAGCCAGAATTTGGGTTGTTAGTCTTTTAAAATAAAATTATGTCTTGATAACTGTTGGCAGAAGAGATTTTTGGTAACTGGGGCTTGCAAACAGTCTCAGCTAAAGGGCTTTGGGGGTTCACAAAGGTGAGTTTTTGGAACTTGAATTCAGAATCATGGAATGGCCTGAGTTGGAAGGGACCTTAAAGCCCATCCAGTTTCATGCCTTGACATGTGCAGGGACACCTTCTACTGTCCCAGGGTGCTCCAAGCCCCAACCAACCTGGCCTCGGACACTGCCAGGGATCCAGGGGCAGCCACAGCTGCTCTGGGCACCCCGTACCAGGTTATCCCCACCCTCACAGGAAAGAATAAATTTAGAGGTAGTTTCATCACTCCCCAGATCACCCCCTGAGCCAGACCTTGCTCATTTTTGATGCCTGGGAGTCACAAGAGAGCTGGAAACTGCTTCCTATTTCTGATTTTATTTTAGTTTAATTTTTAGAAAGCAGGGCTCCTGTACAGAAATGCCACTGTAAGGCAAATATCCCAAGGGCTGGAGCTGGAAATAGTGTCTGAAGCACTTTGTGAGATGCTATGGATGCGGCATATTCAGCTCCATCACACGTGGAGCAGCTGCTGTAGTGGGAGGTGTGACGGGAGGCCTTGGGGTCACTTTAATTTCATACAGCTATAGATATACATATATATTTATAAAAGTACACAAAGAGTTCCCTCTGAGCATCCTGGATACAGCATGGCCCGGTCAGGGCAGGATCTCCCAGGGCTGTTTGCCTGCACTAGGATTTGTCCCCAGTTTTCCAGTCCAGCATCACATCCATGTCCAGGGCAGCCTTAGCTGCAGTCAGAGGTCTCTAAATAACACTAACCTAACAATGACATTAACCGTAGAAAGCTTTCTCTGGGAGCACTCCCAGTTTGAGGAACTCCAGGAGAATTTTTACAATGGATCTGGAGCTTTTTGAAAACAGCGTCTCTGAAGTGGCATAAGTTTTTCTTCCCATCTCCATTTGTCTTTTGGACACAGCTCAGAGGGGGATGGAATGAGGTCCCATGATGTGGCAGAGAAAATGGCCTCAAGTCACTCCAGGGAGGATTAGGCTGGATATTAGGGAACATTTCTTCCTTGAAAGGGTTGTCCAGCCCTGGCACAGCTGCCCAGGGCAGTGGTTGAGTAACGATCACTGAAGAGATTTAACCATCACTGTGTGGATGTGGCACTTGGGGACATGGGCAAGTGGTGACCTTTGTAGTGGTAGAGGAACAGTTGAACTTGATGATCTTGGAGGGCTTTTCCAACCTGAACAAATCTGTGATGCTATGATCACCTCCTGGCACAGTTCCTTTCTGCCATGTGAGCGTTTCCCCTTTTGCCATGGGCTGTGGTGTCACCCTGGCCCGTGCAGGAGGACAAGTACATGGACATTGCAGTTCTGGTGCCCTGGGCTCTGCCCAGAGCCATGTGTTGGAAGGTGACAGCCCCTCGGGGTGTTGTTGGTTCAGGCGGTGGCATCAGTGGAGCATATTTGCCCAACTTGCCTCTTGTTCATGTCCTCTCCCTACATCATTTGGTGAGTCCCAATTCTCCCATTTTTCATTCTCAGGACGTAAAAAGCTTTTGCAGTCAGTCTGTATGCAAACCCAGCAGTGTTACGGAGCAGTGCCCAGCCCAGCACTCTGCTAGAGCTCTGTGGTGGTGACCTGGGTGACTTCTGAGCGCAGCTCATCTGCTCCGCGTGCGCGGCAGCCCCGCTGGGGGCTGCCCACCTCTAGTCATGCCGGCTTGTTGCGGGCCTCAGAAGGGGTGCAGGTGGAGACGTGCTCCCGTGTGGTGGTCCTGGCACGGGAGAAGCTGTTCTGGTCCACACGGGCTCGGAAAGGCAGGCAGAACTCTCGGAAGCACCTCTTGAAGTTTTCATCCAGGAAAGCGTACAGGACAGGGTTGAGGCTGCTGTTGGTGTAGCCCAGAGCGATGCAGAAGTGCAGGCTGGCCACCACATAGGGGTTCTTCTTGTCTATGTCCACCAGCGTCCAGACGATGACGAAGATGTGGATGGGCGTCCAGCAGATGATGAAGGCTGCCACCACCACCAGCACCATGCGAGTGATGCGCCGCAGGTTGCGATCCTTCTCCTTGGAGCCTGAGAGGAGCCGGACGCTCTTCAGGCGAAGGATCATCAGCCCGTAGCAGATGGTGATGACCAGAATGGGGACCAGGAAGGCAAAGATGAAGACACAGATCTTGGTCACAGTGTCCCAGTAGATGGGAGGGTCGGGAAACTGGAGAGTGCACAGGACCACACCGTCTGTAGGAGAGAGGAGGGTCAAAGAGGAAGCTTAGAGTCTGCTGAGAATATTCTGCTCAGTCTTGGCTTGTTAAAACCCCAGGGAGATGCATTCCTACCTGCCTGCTCCTGGCAGAGGTTCCCCAGGAGCTCTGTGCCGTCAGACTCCACAAGACACTGAGGGGAGGCAGTGGATGCAGTGACCCTGGAACTTTTTCCTTGCAGAGCCTTCTGGGCCATTCAAGGCCAATCCTCCCTTCTCCCAGCCCCCATGATGGACATCCCCATGTCACATCCACATATCCTCCACTTCCTCAAGATGCCCAGAGCTTTCCTAGCAGCCAAGGACCAGTGTCCCCACACAGGAGCTGCAGATCTTAGGGTCACTTGGAGACTTTGCAGCATCACTGGGTTTTTTTTAGGCCCCTGCTTTGCATCCCAGGAGGTGGGGAGAGGCACTGGTTGGACTGGAGATGGGGAAAGGTGTGGGATCCCTACCCTTAAGGGGAAGGGAGGACAATTTCTGGGACAGTTTCTAAGATGGGAAATAACACCATGATGCTTTTTCCAAGACAGGGCACATTTATGGTGTCACAGGTGTCCACCACTGACCACAAATCTGCTACAGGACCAGAGGTCAGGTTTGCCAGGTCACCCCTCGGATTGACTGATGGGACAGGAGGGGACGTGTACCCTGAGACACTTGCCTTTTGACTTGGTGACTGCCATGATCATGATGGGCACCCCGATGAGGGAGGAGAGCACCCAGATGCAGACGTTGATGATCTTGGCTTTGGCCGGCGTGCGGAAGTCCAGGGCCTTGACTGGGTGGCACACGGCGATGTAGCGGTCCACGCTCATCATGGTGAGGGTGAAGATGCTGGTGAACATGTTGTAGTAGTCAATAGAGAGCACGACCTTGCAGAGCAGCTGCCCGAAGGGCCAGGTCTCCATGAGGTACTTGGCGCTCTGGAAGGGCAGGGTGCTGGTGGCCACTGCATCAGCCAGAGCCAGGTTGAAGATGTAAATGTTGGTGGCTGTCTTCATCTTGGTGTACCTGGGGGAGAAAGGGCATGTTACAGGTGGTCAGGGCACTTGATGTGATGAGGAGGGGGCACAGCCTGTCTGCTCACGAGGTGACACCAGCCTTGGTGGGCAAAAGTGTTGTGATGTGCCTTTCTGCAGCACCAGGGTGCTTGGCATTTCCCCAAACCAGTTGCACAATGTCCTTTATCCCCTCAATCCTCCTTCATCTGATTTTCCACCTAGTAAATTGTGATTATCCAGCCTGCATCCCTGTCAAGTTTGCTTGCAGAAATTGGATCGATTACCCCCGGAAACAGGCCATCTGGAAGCAGCCCAATTAGCCAGCCTGGAGCTCCAGAGCCTTTGGGGAAGCCTGCTGTATCCCCCAGGGCATTTGGGAAGGGCTGGCTCTGCTTCTGGTTCTTGTCACACCATGGCAAGAGAAATGCACGGTCCCTTATGTCCAAACATTTCCTGAAGGGATGAGGCAGAGTTATGGCAGATGCCAGAGAAGCAGGGATGTGTGTGTGTGTGTCCCAGGAGCATCCAGCCCTGCAAGTGTTGGTCAAAGGGATACTTTGAATGGTGTGGTGGCTTGGAAATAGATACTGAGGGATCTGCTGGGTACCCCCAAAGGGCAACACACATGCGGTGGGAGTGGCTCTGTGGAAGACCCTGCTCTTTGCAGGACTACACCAGCAGCTCCAGCTCTTCCTGTGCTCCCTTCCAGCAAATCCCCATTGCTCAGAGAGCACCCTCCCCAGCCTCAACCTTTTTTAGATATACCCTAATTAATTAACATCAGGGTCAGTTTGCCCAAAACCATCTCTGTGCATGGCTAAACCTGCCTGTAGCAGCACTGGGATAAGGCACAAGGGGGGAGATTACCACTTTGTTGCTGAGATGAAAAGATTGTTTTCCTTGTACTTATAAAATAGATAGAAAGTGACTTTTCACATGTGTGATAGGGGTAAGACAGTTTTAAACTGACAGAGGGCAGGTTTGAATCAGATATGAGGGTGGTGATAACCTGGCACAGCTTGTCCAGAGAATCTGTGGCTGCCCCATCCCTGGAAGTGTTCCAGGCCAGGTTGGACAGGGCTTGGAGCGACCTGGGACAGTGGAAGGTGTCCCTGCCCATGGCAGAGAGTGGAATGAGATGGGCTTTAAGGTCACTTCCAGTCTAAAGCATTCTAGGATTCTGTGATAATTGGTACAGCTCATCACATGTTGGGGTACATGAAATAAATTGAGGTGGGGGGATTGAGTGGCTCCCATCACAGGTGGTCCTGCCCTGGCTGCAGCCCAGGACAGCAGGTTGGTGTGGTAAAGAGGCTTCTGGAATTGAGGGTGCTACCCAATCCCTTCCCCTTATCTTTTCCCCATCTCAGCAGTGTCAGGAGAGAGTGGGGACAGAGACCCACCAAGTTCCATTGTCAATAGAACTGGGAACTGGAGCTGAAAAACTAATTTCTTTCTGGGAGAAAATAGAAAACAGCAGCTTAACCCAGCTCCCAGCTCCAAGAGCATTCCTGTCTCCTTCACCATGGCTGCAAATGGCAGCCCGTTGCCCAAGGGTGGAAATATTCAAGCGGAGCTTTTTTTTGAAATTTAAATATGGCATTAAAAATGTCTTGTCCTTGAAAAGTCCTTTTCCATTCTCTTTAGTGTTATTTTCCAAGCGCTTTTGCAGAAAAGTTTCCTCCCAGGTTAAACAAAAAGCTGAGAATTTGTGGTATTGTCAGGTTTTGCCTCTCCTATGTGAACAGTCAGTTCAGGTAGATTCACACATCTGTGGTCTCTGTTTTTTGAGTAAAATGGTTAAAAAAAATCTGTTATTCATTCCATGATCTGCCAGATGTGGTTAGCTGTCCTGGGTAAGCACTTCCCAACCCCCTGCCAGATGTGCCAGGGGGACTGGAGGGCCAGAGCTGTCACCCATGCCCAGGCAGGATGGGGCTGGTGAGGGCAGAGCGGTGACAGGGATGACTGGGACAATGGAGATGACTGGGATGATAATGGGAATGTCTGGGATGATGGGTTGACTCTGCTGATGCATTCGACTGGAATGACAGGGATACCTGGCATGAGGCTGGGGATACCTGGGGTGATGGGGTTGATGGGAATAACTTGGGATGGTGATAGGGATGACTGGGAAGATACAGATGGCAATTTAGCTTCTAGCACTGGGGTTTTGGAGCAAGATTCAACCCCCTCCAGGTTGGGGCTGAGGTTTCAAACCCCTGCACAGGGTGAGGTGTCCATCCTGGTGAACCTCCTGAGCTGCAGATGAAACTGCTGCTCCAGGAAAGAGGTTTATTGCCCACATTAGAGCAAATCATCCACTGCTGCTGATGGACCTCCCCAGGCTGCCAAACCCATTGCAATTAAGTGAATGCCTTGATTGGGAAGTTATGCACTTGAAGGAACAATCTGGGAAATGTTGATGAAGAGAAGAGATGGGAGGGGATGGGGAAAGCACAGGGCAGCTCCGTATTCCAGTCTCGACTCCCAAGTAGGGATGCCCTCTCCAAACCTCTTGGAAAATAAATAAGTGAAAGAAAACTGAATAATAATGAAAGAAAAAACTCCTGGAGCTGCTAAAAGCCGCTGCCTGCAAGAGCCTGGCTCGACAAAGGCTGCACCCAGCTGTCCCTGCAGCCTGTGTGGGAGCTGGTGGGGGGCTGATGGGCTTAGTGGGGCTGAGGGCACTTGCAGCCCTGAGCTCACAGCTGCAAATTGTTTCCAGGAGTGTTTTTAAAAGCACCTGACAATACAGTGGGCATGGCAGTGCTGGTCAGAGCTGTGCTGGGGAGGGTGCTGGGTGTGCTGGGCTCCCTCCAGATGTGTGGATGGGTTTGGCTGCTCTGGACAGGGATTTATTTGGATTTTGGCTGTGCTTGGCTCATGGTGTGTCCGTTCACAGAGCTATATACCAGGGTCCTGTGTCTGCATCTGCCAGCTCCTGGCACTCATGGACTTTGTGGCAAACTCAGTGTGGTCCCAGAGGTCCCAGACCCCCAGGATGTGCTCCAGACTGCCTGGACCCCCTGCTTGGACCCCAAGGGCACTGAGAGCTGGCACTAGAAGAGCACAAGGCAAACACCCAGAATCTCCCTGGCAGGGAGGTCCAAATCCAAGCTGAGCCCTTTCTTCCACAGACACAGGTCTCCCCTAGTCCGACCTAAACCCTGTCAGCATGGAGCAGCTCTGACAAGAAACTCCAGGTGGCTTTGGCCATGGAAGGGGCGAAGGCATGTGTCCCTGCAGCCCCTCCTGTCCCAGGGGCTTGGAGGACGATATTTGCTCATTTCATGGGATATTCCCCATCCCTGGAAGTGTTCAAGGCCAGCTTGGACAGGGCTTGGAGCCACCTGGTCTAGTGGAAACAAGATGGTCTATAAGGTCATTTCCAACCCAAACCACTCTGTGATTCTGTGTTTAATTCCATCATCAGTTGGAAAATGCGGGGCTAGAAGGTGTGGCGATGGGATCTGTGGCTGTCAGGCTTGCTAAAACCTTGGTAACATGGAGTTACTCAGTGAGTAAAATAGGGAGGATGTTGTTTGCATATGAAATCACTCTCTTTAAAATGCCTTCCCTCTCCTCTCACAGAACGAGCTGGAGGGGGTCTAATAACACTCATCCCTCACCCTGACATTGTTCATGGCATCTGTCTCTGCCGCAATTACCTCAATTTGCTTTTTCAGACCAGGGCTCATTTTTGATGCCACTTTGAGTGGGTGAAAAATTCCATTAGGAGTCAGGTCGGGTCAGTGAGTTACTCCCCCATGGCACTCCCTATTGCCCACCCTCTTGGATGGTTAAAAACACACAGAGAGTGGGGAGCAGGGGCAGCAGAGCCTGATGCCAGGGCAATGGGCACTCCAGGGTGGCTCATGGACACGTTTCAGGATGGTTTCCTTCCCTCCATTGAGTTACCACATTTATTTGTGCGCATGCAGTGCCAGGCTGTGCTGACCTCCTGTGATGATAGCTAGGGACTAAAAGGGATAAGGAAATTAGGGTGGAAATGGTTAAAAGTGTGAATTTGGAGGGTTTGTTTAAATCCAGCCACCAGCTCTGGTTTGGCTCTAGGGTTTTGGCCAAGCTGGGGTTACAGGATCACCTGAGGCAATGGAAATTGGAATTACCCCACAGATTCTGAACCTACAGGACCAAGCCCCCACCAGTGCAGAGGGGGTGGCTGTGAAGCCCAGGCACCCAGTGAGACCCTTCTGCTCCCTCCTGCCAGGCTGGAGGTGTTTGGGTCTGCGCCCTCACAGAATGTGACTGCAAGCACAGCCCCATCCTTTGCTGCTGGCAGAGCTGTGGAGGAGCTCTGTCAGCCCTCACTGCTGGCACTGGTCCTGTGGACTGTAAGGCTTGGCTTTATGGTCCCATTTTCCATGTCAACCCATCCTAACCAGGCAGGACCACCCAGTGTCTGGACAAAGGGACTGACGAGATTTTGTACCTTAGCACAAGTGCCTGGCTGGATACAGCAGCATCTTGCCATGCCCCATCTTTATAATGGGGGGCGTTTGGGTCATGCTGTTTTGTCCTGGGGTGCAGGGACCCTGCAGACCCTGTCTCTGCCCAGGGAAAGCCTCACCACAGGTGCCCAGGTCTTGGACGCAGCCACAGTAGGTCTCTTGGCTACTGGAGATGGTTCCCCACGCTGAGGGGACCAGAGGACAGCTCAGCTGCTGTGGGAGATGGGGCTGGGCCATGCAGTTCCTGCTCTTTGTTAGAGAAAAGCAGAAGTCAGGCAGCTGCAGGAGGTGCTGGCACAAGAAGGAGCTGGGAATGGGCTGGGTGGGTAATTCCCACTGATGGAGTGAGGTGGCAGCAGCGGGAACCCACCAGCCCCTGCCTGGGGCGGGGGAGTCTGGACCCACCCTGCAAACAGAGCAGCTCCCAGCCCTGCGCTTCTCTTCCTCACAAAGGACAAGAGGCACCCGCTCGGGGCCGGGCTGTGTCGCCCATGCCCCCTCCCCGTGGCCGAACACAGCTGCCCTGCACTCCCCGAGCTGCCCCAGGCCCACACGGCCGCTGCTTTCACCCTTGCACAGCTCACACGCACATCCCGGTGCACACCCAGCCCTGCTGCTGCTGCTCGGGGAACGCTCACACGCGGGGCAAACTCACACCTGGTGCACACTCACCGCCGGTTCACACTCACTCTCGGCTCACACTCACTTCTGCTGCTGTTTGGCACGCAGCACACGCTCAGCCCCGCTCACACCTTGTCTCAGTGCAAACTCGCTCCTGGTCCTGTCTCAGCCCCGGTGCGCACTCAGCAGCTCGTACTCCCGTGCGCTGCACCGGCACAGCCTGGCTCCACACCTGCTCACACCTGGTGTGCCCAGGGTGCCCCTTGTCCCTCACACTCCGCAGCCCGGCTCTCACCTGACGATGCCGTACATGACCAGGACGTTGCCCAGCAGCCCCACCACGCACACCACCGAGTAGAGCGCGGTGATGACGACGGCGATGAGGATGGACGTGGCGCTCCTGGCCCGCTGCAGGCCCGTGTCGTTGACGCCGTGCCCGGGCAGGGTGGCCCAGGCGCTGCCGTTGCCCCAGGGGGCGGCGGTGGCGGCGGGCAGCACCGAGGGCAGCACCGAGGGCAGCACCGAGGGCAGCTCCGCGGGCGCATCCGAGGGCACAGCCATGGGCAGCTCCATGGCCCGCGGGCGGCCGCGGCCCCGCTGCAGCCGCCGGGCGCATCCGAGCTCCGCGGGTTCGAGCCCCGCTGCGGCCGGCGCCGCCGCCGCCTCCCGCACCGGCGCTTTATAAACCCGCGTGTCCCCCGAGCCACGTGGGGCCGGGGGCGGCCCTGCTCGCCGCCCGCCCCCTCGCCCGAATGTTCCCCTCCTGCGGTTCTCCCCCTTGCTCCCTACCTGTCTCCCCCGTCCCCGCCTTCCTCCACCTCGGTCGATGGCTGCCGTTCTCCACTCGGCAGGTCCTTGTCTTCCCTCCACGCTCCCGTTTTCCCCGCATCCCTGCCTGCCTCGCCCCATGCTTGCATTCCTGCCTACCTTTTCCCCCCACAGCTCCCTCCTTGCTCCCCCCTCCACGCCCCCCCGCCCCCAAGCCTGTCTCTTTCTCCTGCCATCCTCCCCTCCCAGTTCTTCTCAGTCCCTGCCTGACCTCCGCTCTCCCCAGTCCCTTCCTCTTTTCCCCTTTTCCCACCGCCCAGTTCCTTACCTTCACCCCCCTCCCTCATTCCTGCCTCTGCCTCTCCTCCCTGCTTGCCCTCCTGATCCCTGTCTCTCCCCCCAATCCCTGCCTGTCGCCCATCCTGGAGCCTGCACGGGTCCCCGGCTGGAGGGGGAGCGATGGATGGGGCGCTGTGACTGCTCTGGGTTTCCTTTGTCTGCAGGCAGGCAGGGGGACAAGCAGCCCCCTTGTCCACAAAGCAAAGCCGGCCGGTCTCCAGTTCTCCCTCGGCCTCTGCTTTTTCTTCCTCTCCTTCACTCTCCCCATCACATGCTGTGGGGTTAAGGGGTGCTGCATGAGTTTAGGGGTGCTGAGGAGGTCTGGGAGGATGTTGCAGGGGGATTCAAGAGGGATATTGTTGGTGAAGGAAGGAACTGGAGGGGTGCTGGGGGGAGAGTGATGCAGGAATGCTGAAGAGGGATTTGGGGAGCAGTGTTGGGGGGATTTTGGAGGAATGCTTGGAAGGCAATAAGGAATGCTGGGGGTGCTAAAAGAGGTTTCTGGGGGGCTTGGGAGGGATGCTGCTGCAGGATAAAAGATGTAGGAGATGCTGCAGAGTGAAGGTGCAAATACAGACCCAGCAGCAGCACCTGCTTAGCTGAGCTGGGCTTTGTGGGCTGTTGAGTTCACCTTCCCCTTTCCAAGGAGCCTTCCCAGCCTTGGGGCAGGACCGCCTTCCTCTGGCAGTGCTCCCCCCTTTCAGGGTCTGCAAAGCTGAGAGGCAGGAACCTTATTTTTCCTGGAGCCCAAATGGAGGTGGAGGCTCTGGGTACACATGCTTGGGGTGTCCCCATCTCCCGTTTGCTTTGGGAATAGATTAATTCATTGCCCTGTGCCCTGGAACAGCTCCGGCCCAGAGAGAGAGGATGATTTGCTGCAATTTTGGGTACATCTGGCTCCAGAGAGACGGAGCAGGAGACACGGGACATGGAGGAGAGGCCAGCAGCTTGTTCAACCCTGGAGATGGGGTTTTCAGTCTGCGCGTAGCTCTGCCAGTATCAAAACCCTGCAGTGCTGAAGCAGACATTTCACCAAGAGCTTCATAAAAACGCCCAGGAGGGAATTAATGGCTTTTCAATCATTCCATGGTTCAGATGGTAACCACGGGATGGGAGGTCCAGGGCCTCTGAGCAGGGAGGCAGGAGCTGTGAGCTGTGTGCTCCTGTCCTCATGGCGTGAGGTGGCTGTGGCCCTGGCTGTGTCCCACAGGGCTGGTGGGATGGGTAAAGGCAGGATTGGGAGCACAGGAATGGATTTAACATGTGTATCTTGGTTCCTGCACTTTGGATGCATCAGCCTCCTTACCTGGAGGGTGTTCCCATTCCTGCAGTGCTTTTACAAGCCCAGGCAGGATAGAGGGGGATGTTCTGCATCTGTGTGTGGTCCAGAATATGGGATTTAAACACCTGCCTGGGTGAAAAGAGCCTCCCAGACCCAGATCGAGGTGTTGAGTATCTGCTGTGCCCAGCTCTGATGCAGGCTGGTTGCTGATCTCTCCCAGCGGGAAGGAAACATCAGGTTGGGGAGTGTAAAATAGCTTTTAGCATGGCTGAGGAGCTCTCTGGAAAAGAACCCATCCCTTCGCTTGGCTCCCGGCATGGCCAGAGCCCCCACACTGACCCTTTTCCAACGGGTTATCTGCAAAGGACTAATCATCCTGGCAGGTTCCAGCAAACACGTCCTCTTGGCTCAGCTCCAGCATTTCTTTAGAATTTTTTTTTTCAGCTGGAATGTTAAAAATAAACCCAGTGGACACACAAAACAAATGGAAAATCTTTAAAGGGCTTTGGTGCTCATCTGCCTGCTCTCAGTTGTTGCTGCTCCTGCTGCCAAACCTGGCTGCTGCTGCGAGTGGAGTTCCAAAATTGGGGAAACTGAGGTATCTTGGAGGGGAGAGCATCACCCTAATGCAGCCTGGTGGGTCTAGCAGGTTCTGACCCCCAGCACTGGTCCTGGGACCTCTCTCTGCATCCCGAGTTTGATCAATGCCACTTTGGCCACCCGGGGGGATGGTGAGGCCCTGGCACAGGGTGCCCAGAGAAGCTGTGGCTGCCCATCCCTAGAAATGTCCAAGGCCAGGTTGAAAAAGGCTTGGAGCAGCCTGGGATAGTGAAAGGTGTCCCTGCTATGGCAGGGGTAACACTGGAGGGGCTTTAAGGTCCCTTCCAGCCTGAACCATTCTGTGATCTCGGATCAAGTCTTGCTCTCCTGCAGGGATTGCTTCTCTTAGGAAGTTCTGTGCGGCAATGTCTTAGCTCTTATTTCCTCACCCACATCCTGAAAAATAAATAATGTATCAAATTGAGATGGTGAGAGCAATGCTGAGGCTGTCAAGGAGCACAATTCATGTCGCTCCTTTGCCTGGTGAGCTGAGGTCCATCCAAGGGGATTTATAGCTGGAGCCACTAATGGCAGTGTTTTGATGTACTCAGAGACTCAGAAAACTCGACAAAGTGTATTTCATGGTGAGAAGACCCTCTCCTCTGGAATTTATTGCTTTTAATCAAAATAGACATAGAAATAACATGCAAGAGCAATGAATCTGCTCTGGCTGGACTCCAGTCAAAATCCATGGCAACCTCTGGAGGATGATGAAGGAGGGAAAAAGGGAGATGAATTCTCCATGAGGATTTTTGGGAATTCAGAAGGACACTGAGGCTCCCTAGCAGTACCATGGCTCTCACCTTGCCATGATGCTGTTAGGGAGTGCCTTGCACTGGATCTCTGGTGACACTGGAATGGCTTTGTCCTCTGCTGAGGTGGGGACCAGGGCATTTCTGCCAGGTATAGAACTATGATAGAAATAGAACAATATCTAAAATATAAATATATAAAAATATCTAGATATTTTTATATAATTTACATTTTGGCAGCCAGCTGGAGTCCTGTCTGTACATTTCAGAGCTGTGATGCAGAGAAGGGAAACTCCATTTTTTATTCCCCCTTCATAGTGCCTATCTTCGTAGAATCATGGAGTGATTTGGGTAGGTAGGGACCTTAAAGCCCACCTATCCCACCCATCCCAACTCAGAAAACCAAGAAGTCAGCACAATGAGGGCACCAGAATGGAGCTCAGCTTGTAGTGAACCACTTTGGGGGGGGGCTCCATTGGCATCTAGCTTCCCTCATTTATAAGGATGAGCCAGGACGTGCACAGAATCACACCTTGGGGAATTGCAGCAGAAAATGTCACTTTGTTTTCTGTAGATCTGAGGTGTTTTGGGGCTTGGGAGAGAATGGACCAGATGCTCAATGAGCATCAGCCCAACTGCACTGGTAACCACCGAGTTGCGAGTCCAGGCTGCTCCTCCATCTCCCCAGGGCTCATCACTTCCCCTCCCTCCACTGACAGCTCCAGATAAATCAGCCTTGAAGAGGAAAATGGGCTGATTTGTGTGTTTTGTTTTCCCATGTCAACATATCTGAGTGTTTTCATACCTTGCGGGGCAGCTGCTGCAAAGAACAAAGCCCATCCGTCAGGGGAGTTAAAATTAGATGAGATTCTTCTCTGCCTCGCCATTCTGCATGGCTGCACGTGAGGTGGGGGTTTGCAGCATTGTTTCCTCGGCACTGTGTGTGGAGAGGCTGTCTCTTGGGGCAGGGTGTCTGCACACCGCGACGGCCAGAGTCGGAGTTGAGGCCAGAGGCTGGATGGAAAATCTCTGCTCACCACCTTGCAGGCAGCAGTCCCTCTCCCAGAGGTTGGTGATATCTTGAGGGGGATGCCACCTCTATCCCTGAGATGTTCTTGGGATGTGAGAGGGGCTGTCCCTGGCGGGCTCAAGCTGGCGACAGTGCCAGCCTGCCCCGAGCCCGCTGCTCCCACCAAGGCTGGGGGCAGCAGGGCTCCTTACAAACACAGGTGAGTGCATCTGCACCTGCTAGTTCATCCTTTTCCATAAAAAATGCCTCCAAAGTGATGATTATTTCACTGGAGGGGTTAGTGAGCCCATTCCTTCACCCAGGCTCATGCCTGGCCTCGTGGCAGTGACAGGGACAGGGGCAGCGATAGCGAGTGACTCGTGGGCACCAAGTTGTGCTGGCAGTGAAGGAAGGATGGGCATCACACCCCATCCCTGGGGAACTCAATCCCCACAGGAGCCTTCTTCCCTGATTGTTGCTTATTTAGGTATTTTCACCACCTCACTGCCCCCTCTGTGCTGCCTTTTTCTGACAATGGAGCATTAACTGGGAACTGGAAGGGTCTCCCTGGATTTTGGGGAGCTAGGAGCATGAGCTGTGCCCCCCTCAGCTGGTGCTCAGAGGTGGCAGAGCTGCTTCCTTGGGAGCATTAACAATCTGTGAGTCATCTCAGAAATGAACCATCACAGGGAGGGGGGAAACACAGCAGCATGCTGCTCCCAGACAGATCCGGGCTGGAAAAATAAATCTTTTTGCTGCTGGTGGAAGGAATTGGTGTCAATGTGACCCCTGGGCTTCCTGTGAGGCTTTCACGGTTTTCCTGGAGAGGTCCTTTGGGACTGAGGCATGGGGACTCAGTGTCCTATTGCTTGGGGCTGGGTGTATCATGGGAACCAGGTGTCCTGCTGCCTGGGGCTGCTCGTGACATGATGGAGGGCCAAGGACCCTGTGCACATGGGCAGACACACATGCAGCGCTGCCAAGGGACAGGGAGGAG